TGCTAGAGCAGAATGGCAGGTGGAGGGGAGGGAGGCCCCAGGGCCAGCACGTCCCTGCACTTCTGTCCTCTGTCGTTTCTTCCGTACACACTTTCTGTTTCTCGCTGCCTGTCTCACACTGTCTGCTCTCAGTCTCTGTTTTTTAAAAATATATTTTTATTGAATTCAGAGAGGAAGGGAGAGAGAGAGAAACATCAATGATGAGATAAAATCATTGATTGGCTGCCTCCTGCGCGCCCTCTACTGGGGATCGAGCCCCAACCCGAGCATGTGCCCTGACTGGGAATCGAACCATGACCTCCTGGTTCATAGGTCAATGCTCAAACTCTGAGCCACACCGGCCGAGCTCTCGGCCTCTGTTTTTTGTTTTTTTTTACGTGGTCTCTCTCACTTGCTCTCTCTTGCCCTGTCTGTCTGGGAGAGTGTACAGATAATGGGCCCACTTCTTCCCTGTGCCCCCAGGAGGCACCAAGATTTTAATTTAACTAGAGGCCCACTGCATGAATTCGTGCACCAGTGAGGTTCCCTCGGCCTGGCCTGCGGGATCGGGCTGAAACCAGCTCTCCAACATTCCCCGAGGGGTCCTGGATTGCGAGAGGGTGCAGGCCAGGCTGAGGCACCCCACTGGTGCACGATCGTGGCTGGGGAGGGATGTGGGAGGGCTCCAGGGCATGTCTGGCCTGTCTTGCTCAGTCCTGATGGACCAGACCCCAGCAGCAAGCTAACCTGCCGGTCAGAGTGTCTGCTCCCTGTGGTCAGTGCATGTCATAGCGACTAGTTGACCGGTTGACTGTCTGCCCCCTGGTGGTCAGTGCACATCATAGCGAGTGGTTGAGCAGCCTTAGCATATCATTAGCATATTACTCTTTGATTGGTTGAACAGGAACTGAATGACCAGACACTTTGCATATTAGGCTTTTATTATATAGAATGGCATGGGAAGTGTGTATTTCAGCTACTCCACAGTTTGTTGAAATCTCTCGTCTGCTCCCTTTCTTTGTCTTGTGGATCAGCGTTACAAAAAGATCCTTGTTGCCCTAACCGGTTTGGCTCAGTGGATAGAGCGTCAGCCTGTGGACTCAAGGGTCCCAGGTTCGATTCTGGTCAAGGGCATGTAGCTTGGTTGCAGGCACATCCCCAGTAGGGGGTGTGCAGGAGGCAGCTGATTGATGTTTCTCTCTCATTGATGTTTCTAACTCTCTATCCCTCTCCCTTCCTCTCTGTAAAAAATCAATAAAATATATTTAAAAGACAAAAAGATCCTTGTTCTCCCATTGAGCTCGGGGAAGGGAAAGGAGTGAAGTCAGTGGAGCAGGCCAACCAGAAGTCCTGGAGTTGACCTCGAGGGCCTTCCTGCTCCTGGGCCTCTTGTCCTTATTCACCGGCCTGGACAGTCAGCCCTCCTGCGTCACAGTTGAGCTCGTGGGCGAGTCCCCTCCTCACCCTGGGCAGGGCATTGGCCTCACACTTCCCTGGTGGCTTCCGCTTGCCACTGCTTGTATGTGGCTCATGGGGGTGTGGTCTTGGTTGGTGGCCTCACGGGTTTCTTTGCGAGCTCCATCAGTGGGATCTCCAGGAGCGATCTGGAGGCGTTGAGTCCCAGCCGTGGCGAGTGGCCTCTGTGTCTCAGCCCTTCCGGCTGGCTGCTTCCCAACAGCATGCGTGGGCTCCCCTCCTCCGGGCCAGGGGGTCACTGCCTGCCCCAGGCTCTCTCACACCTGGTCCTTCTCTGTCCTGCAGGTTTTGGGGTTTGAGATCGACGCTGTGAACTCTGTCCAGTTTTCAAACCACACAGGTAAGGCACAGGCTCAGCTGAGTGTGGGTGTGAGAAACGTCCTTTTAGAAATGTGGGTCCTGTGCCCCCATCTGCCAGAGCTGCGGGGGCGGCCCTGTGTGAGGGTGGAGGGCTGGGGTCTCCCATCTGCAGGGTGGACTGCCCACCGGAGTCTTAGCCCCGCGGCTTTGCGCTGGCTGGCCAGGCAGATGCAGTAACCAGGGGAAGTGGTGCCTCAGTTTCCTCCTGAAAAACAAGGACGGTGATCCTAGCACCTACTCTTACATGAGTGTGCTCATGCCCCCCGTGCCACCATGGCTGTAGGTGGACGTGTGGGTGGACCCTGACTGTCTCTATTAGAGACTGGTGCCTGGGAGAGCACACGCACGGGGACCTCATGGGTTTCTGGACAAGCCTTGAAGTGGAGTTGCTGGCTGGAGGGTGTGTGAGGGGCAGTGCCCCTTGACCCCACGCTCCCCACGGCTGCAGAGGCAGGAGGACAAAGCCTCCTCGGTTCTTGGAACGGTCCCCACATTGCGTCTCGTGAGATTGCTCTGCATCCAGGAAGAACCTCCGGGCACAGACGTCTCCAACCGCCTGGCAGGGCACCATGGGACCCGGGGGTGGTGCCTTGGCCTCAGCCCTCGGGAGGGTTTCTTGTAATTCTCCTGGGTACAGTTTTTCCTGGAAGGGGAGAGGGTATGATAGGTCATAAGCAAGGAGGGAGGAATTCTGTGTGGGTTTGGATGAAAAGGCTACAGTTCACCCTAAAAGCCCTTTCCTGCTTTCACGTTGCGGAGTGTGCTGCGTGCTCTGAAATTTGAAGAAGTCCCAAAAAGTTTGAGTCAATCCAGCAAACTTCCCTGAATCCCACATGTTTTTACTGGCTGTTTCAACCACCCTCCCTTTTTCTCTTTTCTTTTAAAAAATATATTTGTATTGATTTCAGAGGGGAAGGGAGAGGGAGGTAGAAACATCAATGATGAGAGAGAATCGTCGACCAGCTGCCTCCTGCACGCCCCACGCTGGGGATCGAGCCTGAATCATGTGTCCTCACCGGGAATCGAATCGAACCACTGAGCCTCGGGCTCTTCCTTCCTTTCTCCCCCCCCCCCCCTTTTTTTAAGTAAATGAGCCAAACTGGCTTGGACACCAAGTGATGGAATTAAACTTATTGGTGAATATTATATTGTGCCATAATGACATTAGCTCAACATAAGCAAGGATTCGGTTCAGAAACTCCTGCTGCCCTTTGCAGGGGCGAGGGGAGGGGCCTTTGGGCCTCAGTGGTGACGGCTCCTCCTGCCTCCTGTGGACCCTCTCAGGTGATGGTGCACTGGCCATCCCGACGGGTCTGAAGCAGGGAGGCCTCTGCCCGCCCCGGGCGGGATGGATGAGGAACAGACCACAGTTTGCCTTAGAGCAGGGGTTCTCAACCTGTGGGTCGCGACCCCTTTGGCAGTTGAACAACCCTTTCACAGGCGTCGCCTAAGACCATTCTGTATATTAGATATTTACATGACGATTCATAACAGTAGCAACATTACAGTTATGAAGTAGCAATGAAAATAATTTTATGGTTGGGTCACAACATGAGGAACTGTATTTAAAGGGCCAGAAGATTGAGAACCACTGCCCTAGAGCCTACGCAGATGTGGGCATGGATAGGGCTGGGATGGGGGCTTCTCTCCCAGGGAGGCACCTGTGGTTCCTGGGTGGGCCTCCTCACCCACGGAGAAGAGCCTCCTGCTCCAGTCCAGCCTTAGATGCGTGTGGAGCCCGCCTGATGAGAGGATCCCTCAGGCAGCTCCCCCTGGGGGTGACTTTGAGCACCCTGTCTCTGCAGCCTAATCCGAGGGCCTACAGGGGGAGGTCTCCCCAAGGCCACCTCTGCGGCTCAGGTGCCAACCCCTCGACCTGGAGTAGCCAGGTGATGCCTCGCTGTGCCCCGAGCCCATCTCTCTTCCCCTCACCCCTGCCCACGCCCTGCTGCTCAGAAATGAGGCTGGTCTGTTTCTCAGACCCGTGCCCTGTGGTAGTCTGGCATGTGCCACCTGGCACCTGAGGCCGTGGAGCTAGTGCTTGGGCCACAGGCTGGTTAGGAAGCTGATCTCACAGAGGCTGTGCTTTGCCGTGGTGCCCGGTGTCTGAGGCCTGGTGGGGGGCTGTGTGTCTCACCCTCACCGCTGCTCTGATGGGATGAATTGTGTCCCCTCCAATTCACGTGTTGAAGCTCTGACCCCCAGCACCTCAGAGAATGACTGTATTTGAAGACGGAATCTGTAGAGAGGTGATAAGCTTAAATGAGGTCATTGGGATTGGGTCCTAAGCCAACATGATGGTTGTCCCCATACGAAGAGATTAGGGCACAGACAGGCATAGAGGGACAACCATGTTTGGACACAGGGAAAAGGGGTCATCTAATCCCAGGAGAGAGGCCTTGGGAGGGACCAGCCCTGCCCACACCTGGACCTCGGCCTCCAGCCTCCAGGACTGTGTTGGAGCCGCCCAGTCTGTGGTACTCCAGGACTCGACTATGCAACATGGGTGATGGGAATAAACCAACTCTGGTCGGAAGGAGGTTTGGAAAACGGAGGGCAAGGAAGGACCACGGTTCTTCCCACTCTGGGCCTACAGCATTTTTGTGGCCGCCCAGCCTTCCTTGAGCAAACACCTGCCTGGGACACAGCCAGAGGCTGCCAGCGTTTGGTGAACGCAAGAGCCGGTGGGGGCAGTCCTGCACTGGAGAACTCTTGGACTCTCCCTGCCTCGCCCTCCTGATCCTGCTGACCCCGAGGGTATCTGATGAATGGGGTCAATCAGGTTCTTCTACTAACAAACTCACCCTCCCGTGTCAGTTCACGCTGGTGTCTCTCAGGGGACATACAGATGATTTGCCCCAGCTGGTGTCCTGGGGCCACGCTGCCTGCAGAATCGTGTTGACAGGTGGAGTTGTTCCAGAATCAGGTTGACTCCTGCTCATGCACACAGGCTGCCAGCAGAGGGCGCCATTGCCCTTCTCCTCCTCCAGGCTGAGCAGCCTGGCTCCGGGCGGTCTGAGTTAGTGCAGATCACCACCAGTGGTCCATGTGGAGGGTTGTAGGGATAACTCGCCCGTGGTTTTTACTTACATGCTTGGAAGCACGTACTTTAAGAGCCTCCCATTGCCATAAAGGACACCAGGAGGCATTCTCATGGGTGAAGTGTGGGGTATCCATGGCGTGGCCCTGCCCCTGGTGAACTGGGAGCCCTTGGCCTGTCCCCACCTGAGCCTCTGTGGGCAGGGGCTCCACATGGCAGGCGGGTCCCCTCAGGATGCTCACGTGTCTGCACCTGCGTGCCTGTCGGGACGAGAGCAGGTTGAGCATCTGGGCCCATTTCTGATTCACGTTTGGCTCTTGGTCACGATTTGATCCAAGACTTGCTTTGGCCGCATTTCAACCTTCTGGGGGAGGGGGGCCAGGTAGCTGGGATGTGACAAGCCCTTACCTGCCAGGGTGCCCTGATGACAGCGATTGAGCAACTCAGCCTGGATGGGGAAACATACACAGTAGAAGCTGGCAAAGGGAGTGACTGTGACATGTGGGGACACATCCCCAGGGCCCCCTCGAAAGACAGGAAGAAGTGACCAGTTGTGTGATCCCGGCGTGTCCTTTTTGGAGTGTCCCTCCCCATCCTATCAGTGTGACGCAGGTTCCACAGGTGTCCGTGGGCCAGCCTGGAGAGCTGATGCCCTCCCTGCCTTGGATTCATTCAGAGGGAACTGGCGGTGGGAGGTGTGACCCTGATGCAGTAATTACAACCACAGACAGTGTCAGCCAGGGTGCTGTCAGGGGTGCTTTGAGGTTGCTGGGCACCCACAGGGATCAGCCCCCTGAGACACCATGCCTGGGAGGTCTACGTCAGTCCCCGCGTCAGCCCCTGGGGAGGGGACCATTCACCCCACCAGCGTCATCGAGGTTGTCGGGGCTGTGCTGGGCCATCGGGTGAAGGTGTCTCACCGTGTGCCGTGTGCGCAGGCCCTGACGGCTCTGCTCTCCCCAGGCTACGCACACTGGAAGGGTCAGGTGCTGAACGCAGACGAGCTCCACGAGGTGTACGAAGGTCTGAAGCTGAACAACGTAAATAAGTATGACTACGTGCTCACGGGTAAGGGCCCTGAGGGAGCAGGCGCTGGTACCTGCGAGCCTTGCTCCAGCTGGGATGGACTCGCGAAGCCCCAGAGCACCCCACACCCGGCTAGTTCCTGGTCCCTGCCTCCTTCAAGGAGGAGTGGCGCATGCCACCGAGCACTTGGTCCTATCCAGGCCAAGTCACACTTCTGGGCCCACATTGGGGTTGCAGTGCACATGGGGTGGGGCCAAGTGGGGTGTTGGGAAGAGATTGGGGTGAAACACCCAAGTAGGCAACACGCTGCCGCCTGGTACGTTGGTCTTATTTATACCCATTCTTGGTTAAAAAAAAAAAGAGTACCTGTTTGTGTTTTTATACGTGGTTAAAAGTGAATGTGTTTGTTGAAATGGACAGGACAGAACATCCCCTGTACACACATCACCGAGGCTTCCTTTTGGGAAGTGCCTGGCGACCCTCGCGGGCTGCGTTTGTTGGGGGACACTTGGTCTTCACCCTGGCCGCAGGATGGTTTCCCTTTGCCGCGGTCGGTCGCTGTGAGCCTTCTGTTTTATGCGGGTGGCCTGCTCTCCCTCCCACAGGGTACACGAGGGACAAGTCCTTCCTGGCCATGGTGGTGGACATCGTGCGGGAGCTGAAGCAGCAGAACTCCCGGCTGGTGTATGGTAGGCGCTGGGCTGTCACCTGCGGGAGTGGGGGTCCCTGGGGCCTGTGCCTGGGTGGAAGCCTCCCTCTTGCATCCCAACTTCATGGTCCACCTCCCAGCCTGTACGCACTGAACTCAGGGGGTAGACACACCTTCACCGCGAACCTGGCATCTTTGTGGGGAGGCAAGCAGGCTATGAACTGGCTTCATCAGTGTCAGTGTGCAAAGCACTGCATTTGAGGTTTGTGACACCCCAGGTGGCCCGGATGACGAAGTGGGGAATGCCAGATAATGCGTAAATGAGAATGGAGGCCATGCTTCCCCAAGCTTTTAGGTGCAGGTGACGTTTAACAACAAATATCATGTGAAAGGCCTTGGCCGGTTTGGCTCAATGGATAGAGCGTTGTCCCGGGGACTGAAGGGCCCCGGGTTTGATTCTGGCCAAGAGCACGTACCTGGGTTGCAGTCTCGATCCCTGACCCCGGTCGGGGCATGTGTGAGAGGCAATCAATCTGTGTGTCTCACATCAATGTTTCTCTCTCTGTCTCTCCCCCTCCCACACACCCCCAACATTCTCGTTAAAAATCAATGGAAAAATATCCTTGAGTGAGGATTAAAAAAATAAAAAAATCCTGTGAAAGGCTCTTTGTTCCCCAGCTGCAGCTCTTGCTGATACGATGCCCTTTGTGTCTCCACAGTGTGCGACCCGGTGATGGGTGACAAGTGGGAAGGCGAAGGCTCCATGGTGAGTAATGTCACGCCCGTGCGAGTGCGGTGAGCACAGCTATTGCTCATCCGAAAGCAGGACACGACCTCTGATGGACGGGGCGCTGCTCTGCGGGAGGCGGGGCCCTCGGTCGGAGGAGGCAGGGCTGGCAGCGAGGTTTCCCATAAAAGGGCCAGAGAGTCAGTATCTTAGGGCCACGCATCCCTGTTGTAGCCAAAGCAGCCAATTTGCAGACCAACGGACATGGCTGTTTTCTGGTGAAATTTCATGTACAGACACAGACTTGAATTTTCCGTCTTTCCATGTGTCACAGTGTTACTCTTCCTTTGACTTTCCCCCCAACATTAAAAAATGTTGAAATCGCTCTCGGCCCCTGAGCCGGACACAGACAGGCAGTGGGACCGGCCGCGGCTCACTGTCCCGTGTGGAGCCCTTTGGGTCACCACGCGCTGCCTATCGCCACGGGGGGGGAGGGGGGGGGCAGCCCGGTGTCACGTGGGGTCCCCGAGCTGGACTCGACTGTTCTGGTTTCGTCTCCTCCTCTGTGTGCGTCAGCCTGTCCCTCTCTCCTTTTCCTTCAGTACGTTCCAGAGGATCTCCTTCCTGTCTACAAAGAAAAGGTGGTGCCGGTTGCAGACATTATAACTCCCAACCAGTTCGAGGCTGAGTAAGTGACTAGAAATGGCCAAAGCTTTCAGACCTCCCCACAGACAGTGACAGACACAGCGCAGGACGTGTCCCCTACATCCCTTCTGTGGGTTCGGCTCCCCGGAAGGTCCTGCCCCAGGGGAGTGGATCTGGCACCAGGGTGGGGGCAGGCCCTCCCCGAGTCGGAGCCCCTTGCCCCCTGCGTGCCAGGGTGACGAGGCGCCCAGGGCCGATCTGGCTTCTTTCTAGCCGTCAGCTGTGGTGTGTGGTTATTTTATTTTATTTTTAAATTTTTAAAAAAATATATATTTTATTGATTTTTTACAGAGAGGAGGGGAGAGGGATAGAGAGTTAGAAACATCAATGAGAGAGAAACATCGATCAGCTGCCTCCTGCACACCCGCTACTGGGGATGTGCCCGCAACCAAGGTACATGTCCTTGACTGGAATCGAAGCTGGGACCCTTCAGTCTGCAGGCCAATGCTCTGTCCACTGAGCCAAACCGGTCAGGGCGCGTGTGGTTTTTTACTCCTGAACAGCAAGAGTCTTGGGGACAGAGAGAGGGAAGAGGTGCTCTGGCATGTGCTGCCACAAGGAAGGGAGTACATGCAGCTGACACGGGCAGTCACCCTGAGCTCTGAAACCCACTTCCCAGATCTGTTCGTGAGGTGGAAAGGCGTGTGCAGCCCTCTGCCCAGTATCAAAGGGCCTTCCTTGGGCTTCACGGCCCCACCTCACACATTGAAGAACCAGGCACTGAGGGTGTGAGGGGCGTTTCCCGGTGCCAGGGGTGTGCAGCTAGTTCCCGTTTAAAACTAAAGTTGACTCTTTTTAAAAATACATTTTTATTGATTTCAGAGAGGAAGGCAGAAGGAGAAAAAGTTAGAAACATCCGTGATTGAGAGAGAATCCTTGATCTGCTGCCTCTTGCACGCCCCCTAATGGGGACTGAGCCCACAACATGGGCATGCGCCCCGACCATGACCTCCTGGTTCATAGGTTGACGCCCAACCACTGAACCACCCCAGCTGGGCCTAGAGTTTACTCTTGACCGATCCCCAGACACATCATGGTGGCCACTTGGTCCGTGATGGCCTGTGATGGCCAGCAGGCTCTGAGTTCGTTCCCTGTGGGGGTTGGGGGTGAGGGTCCCAGTGCTGCTGTCGCTTTGGGAACGTTCCAGGCAGGACCCAGCAAGCAGCGTCTCACCTGTGCCTGCCTGTCTTTCAGGTTACTGACTGGCAGGAAGATCCACAGCCAGGAAGAAGCCTTAGCGGTAAGGAGCCTTCCAGGTCCTAGCATGGGACAGGCGGGCTGCTCCCTGGGGAGGGGACGCTGCACACCTGGGAGATGGGAGACAGGCCCCCCAGGGGCCAGCATCCGGCTGCCTGTCACCTCGCCCAAGGGCCGGGGGGCTGCATTGTCAGTTTCCTTTCTGCCCGCCCCCTGTCCCCTCTGTGCATGTGTGTGTGCGAGGTGGGGGACACGTCTCCCACAGCCCACACTCAGCTCTAGAGCAGGGAGTGCCCGCTCGCACGATCACAGGCACTGCTCTGAGGCAGTTGCACAGGAAGGCAGGGCCTCCTACAGCTCCTAGAGAAAAGCCGAGTTAGAGAGTGGCCGCTGCCCGTGGCTCTGTGGCCCCAGCCCGAGGCCCTGGGCTGAGAGGAGGGACGCGGCTGCCGGGCTGTGACAGGGAGAGCTGAACCCTCGCCCAAGGGTCTGGAGTCCACACCGGTCCCCAGCACGAGAAGTCCCGGATGTGTGTGCACGATTCACGGTCACAGGAGCCTTCCCAGGCCCTCCGCCTGACCCCATGAGATGGTGGGGCTCCGCTGGCCGGCGCTGCCCACGGGAGGCAGGTGATGCGCCTCCTGCCTGCGATGAGGCCCTCTGCCTCTGCCCAGGTCTCTCCAGGCTGGGCCCCTGCTCGGCTCAGCTGGTTTGCTCTCCTGAGGCCCAAGTGCACCTCGGTGGGTATTTTGTCACAAGGCCTGTGCCCTCGAGGGCAGGGAGCCTCCAGCCCCCAGCATGTTGCTGGACACACACACAGTAGATGTTTGTTGAATACATAAGGGAGTGAGTGAGTGGCTTCCCAGAGCGGACAGGTGGTGTGTGCTGTGTGTGGAGCCCAGATGAGGAAGGGCAGCTGGCCCAGCTGGTGGGCGCCTTCCTCCAGAAGTGGGCACCTATAGGGTGCAGATGGGGGCCGGCAGGCACATGCCTTCAGACTTCAAGCCGAGTGAAAGGGGACGGTAGCTCTAACCTGGCAAAGCTGTCACTGGACGGGCAGGGGCCGGGCAGGGTGGGTTCCGGTTATGAGCTTCTGTTGTCTCCCCTCTTCCTGCCCTTAAGCCAAACCCCGCCGGAGTGCATGGGGTGTGCGGGCCACTGTGCGTGGCTGTTGGGGCTAAGGGCTGAGGGGCAGGAGTGACGGCTTTTGGGAGCTCCCTGGCTGACGTGCTCCCTGTGCCTGGCAGGTGATGGACGTGCTGCACTCGATGGGCCCCGACACCGTGGTCATCACCAGCTCCGACCTCTCTTCCCCGCGGGGCAGTGACTACCTGATTGTGCTGGGAAGCCAGAGGATCCGTGAGTCCCAGCCGCCCTGCCCTCCCCACCCCGCCCTGCCCCACCCCACCCACCCCAGCACTGAGCTCCCTTCCGCACCTTTACTCCATATGCCCCTTCAGGCTTCTGAGAAGGTTTGCAATTTCCTGAAGTCATATCACCCCCACCCCCAATCCTGAGAAAGATGAGACTAAATCAGAATGAGGAAGGATTCCATGAATCAGGTGCAGTGGAGCATGGGGAGCTGCCACCTCCCCCATGGCCGCTGCAGCCCTCAACATCCAGATGGGGCCGGCAGCTTGAGGATAACGTCCCGACTTACCTCTGGGGTCACCGGGAACAGCCCTGCTGGAGCCAGGCTCTCGGGGACCCAGGGGCCACACGCCTGGCCTCCCGCAGAGCCGGGGCTGGCTGAGCTCACGCCGTGCTCTGCTTGTTCATTGTTTCATCCTGCAGGTGCCACCGGGTTGGTGGCCCCACACAGCGTTAAAGTGGCACAGGGCTGGGTCACTCCCACTGCCCCAGGGAGCAGCTTCTCCCGCCTCCCTCTGCATCTGTGTGCAGGAGCACATGCACTCACACACGCATTCACACACTTGCACACGCTCATTCACAAACTCATACTCAGGCTTGCACACATGCTCACACACCAGTAAGTTCACATAATCCCTACAGCTCTAGGCGCCATGGTGACTCAGGCTCCCTCCACAGATCACACCGTCCGGCCCCTCATCAGCTGCGCAGTCCCCCCGACGCCGGCCTGACGGTGGTCAGCTGGGGCTCCCACCTTTCACTTTCTCCGGGGTATTGGGGGCACCGGGTGGGCCCTGAGCCCAGGGGTCGGTCGGAGTGAGCCTCCGTGGGTGGCATGACCCTTCCGCGTGCGGTGCAGGGGCTGAGCGGGCAGGAGGGCAGGCTGGGGCCCTGGGCTGGCCCTCTGCTGGTGAGGGTCTGGGGTCCCAGTGGGCCACGCTGTCCCCCAGGGCACCCTGATGGCTCCGTGACGATAGAGCGCATCCGCATGGACATTCGCAAGGTGGACGCCGTCTTTGTGGGCACCGGGGACCTGTTTGCCGCCATGCTCCTGGCGTGGACACACAAGCACCCCAATAACCTCAAGGTCAGCAGGGCGTGCCCCTCCTGCCCCCGTTGATCCTGTCATCTCTGTGGGGAGTGGTTGTCATGTCCCTCTAAAGAGCTGGAGGGTGTGAGGGCTCTGTAGCTTTGGCTGCCACCTCATGCCCCACATCTGGCTGAGTCCCAGCCCAACCCCTGCTCAGTGTCTCGTTCCCAAGTAGGGTGCCAGGCCCAGCCTGGAAGGCCTGTGTCAGCAGAAATCTGAGGGCTCTGGCTCAGGACTGAGGTGTGCAGCCTCGGCACCGGGGAGCCTCTGTCAGCAGAGCAGTCAGTGCAAGTGTGTCCTCAAATGTAGCCACTGGGCTGGTTGGGTAAACTGGGGTGCGGGGGCTTTCTGTGTGCTCTGTGGTCCCGCTCAGGACTCCCAGGGGTGTTCTTTGACCTCCTGCTGTCAGCCTCGGGGCATCTTGTCACATTGTTCTGTCTGATGCCCTATCAGCTGACAGCGTTAGAGAAACTTCGTCAGGTGGGTGAGGCCTGCTGCCCCCTGAGTGTGGGAAGGCAGACTTCGGAGCTCAGGATCTGGAAATGGATTCCTCTAAAGCTGTCGGCAGAGCCCCTGGAGGGACCCCATCTCCCCCGGGGCCCAGGCCTCCCCAACACATCTGGGCTCTGTGTTTGTGCAATGCAGACTTGCTCTCGGGTTCCTCCCCTCTCACCTACCCATCGAAGCCAAAATGTGCCTCCCCTGGCTGGTTTCACACCCTCCTGCCCCCCCTGCCCCCGCCCCCGAAGGCCAGCCTGCCGGGAGTGCAGACCTGCCAGTCTAATTGGCAGCAGCGGGGGCGCCAGCTGTCCAGGTGGTGGCATCGTGGTGCCCAGAGGAGGGCTGTGTCTCTGAAGGCTGAGTTGGTTTAGGAGGGGCCCTGGGTCCCGGAGTCGGGGAGGCAGTTCTGTTTGCTGAGCCCCGAGTCTGACTGTGAGACTGACTGAGCAATGACTTTGGCCGACCTTGAGGCACCAGTTCTTTCCTGTGTTGATTCTTTATACTTAATTCATCCCAGAAACACTAAGCATCTATGACGTGCCAGGCAATACGGATGGTCCTGTGTCACAGCCCCTCCCCAGAGCTGTCTGGCCCAGAGGGGGGCAGGTTAGTGATGCAGGCACCTGCTCAGCTCTGTTAGTCTCCGGGGGGAAGGCCCAGCTGGTTGGGGGAGCGTGTGCTGGCCAAGCCAGCGCCCTGGTGACTCCGGGTGGAGACAGTGCCCACGCAGGCAGCTGTGGGCAGCATGGTGAGTGGACAGTCTCGAGGTGGCCGGGCACAGTGGTCCCTCCTCCCCGCAGGTGGCCTGTGAGAAGACCGTTTCAGCCATGCACCACGTTCTGCAGCGGACCATCAAGTGTGCGAAAGGTACCACCGCAGGCCCACGGGCGCCTTCGCGATCCTGAGAGCCTCCTGCTTTGGGGCCTCAGGCAGAGCGGTGGGAGGGGGAGAGGTGGCACCTGCGTGGCTGTGAATGGGGTCCCCGGGGCTCCCGCTGTCCCCCTGGCCTGGCCTGTAGGAATGGGGTCCCCGGGGCTCCTGCTGTCCCCGTGTCCTGGCCTTTAGGAATAGGGGCAGCGGGCTACAGCCCGGAGCTCCCTTCCGACTGGGAACGCCAAGGCGATCTCCCTGCTCTGCCCCGAGGCTCACGCCCTGTCTGTTCTGTAGCCCAGGCCGGGGAAGGACAGAAGCCCAGCCCGGCGCTGCTGGAGCTGAGGATGGTCCAGAGCAAAAGGGACATCGAGAACCCGGAGATTGTCGTCCAGGCCACGGTGCTGTGAGGGCTGCTGCGCCCACCTGCTCACGCAGCGCCGGTGTCTCCGTCGTCGTCCCTGTGAAAAACGTAACGTCTGCCTTAGAGCTGTGACCGAAACTTGGTATTTTTTTCCTTTTGTGAGTGTCCAGCATCCACTGGTCTTAATTGTGAAAATGTGCCAGTCGTGCTTTTTAAAAATAACACAGTGATCGCAGAAATGTGTGACTTGGAGACCCAGCCCCCCTTCCCCACGAAGGCTCCTGGGCCTCCCTGAAAACCAGCTCTGTGGTCACCCCGCTGGGGGCGTCCTCCCCATCTGGGGGCAGGGGGCATGGTGGGAGGGGCTGCTGCCCCAGAGGGTCGGGTGGGCTCCCGCCACTGAGGTGCCCCCTGTGGCAGGGCCGGGCCGTGGCTGTGTCTGTGTGTCTCTGAGGACGAGTTTCGCCAAGTACCTTTCTTGTCGTTCTGACCGCTCCCTCTTGGCTCCTGCCTCAGGAGTTTGTTTGTGACGTTGCTGCTCGGTTGGTCCCTGGGCACTTCCAGTCCCGCCCTGTTTCACCATATGGACAGGTTAGTGCCAGTGGCCCAGACACACACAGGTGTGCACAGTCACTTTGGCGGGGACCTTCCAGGACCCCGAAAATTCAAGTCCACAGATCGCACCAGTATCAGCTGGCCTGCCCCGTAACCCACGAGTGTCTTTAGGGACCAGCTACACGAGGCTCAGAGATGCCAGGAAAGGGAAGGCTGGTGCGGGGCTGAGGGGTCGGGGCAATGCCACATTGGCTCCTTTTGGAAAACTCACCGAGTTGGTGACACAACAGCGTAAGCACCGCGTATGTGCCACCGGCTACTGGTGACGAGGGCCCTGCGCCAGGGAGTGAGCGTGCAGACAGGTGCGGAGGGCAGAGCTGGGCTCCTGCTCCACAGCTGACACGTTTCAGCCCTAGGCCCTGACCCGAGTCCAGTTGTCCACTGCCAGCGAGACCTCCTTGGCTCCACTTGTCAGAGTTTTGGGGTACCCTAGTCTAGGAGCCCACAGCCTGGAGGGGAGACAGGACATGGGGCCCACGTGACTCCTGGGAAAGCAAACTCTCCGAGGCCAGCCCATGTGCCCTTGGTTCCCTGCCCACAGGTAGGGCCCACACAGCTCCTCAGTAGTACATTCTTCTGTTTGTAGAAAATGCCCGAAAAGGAAGAGGGCCTCTCTCCATTGAACTCCTGGCACCATGGCACAGTCTTTCTTCCTCACTGTGACCTCTGAATGTCTGAGTCTCACGCTGTCGTCCTGGCGGTGGCCTGTGCACAGGGTCAGGGCGCTGTGTCCCTGGTTCCTGGTTCCAAGCACCAGGCTCCTCTGAGCCCCGGGGAGGAGCCCGGCCTTCTGGTCCCTGCAGGGCCCGAAGGACCAGGAGGAGGAAGGAGTGGCCCGCAGCCTGGTGGGGGGCAGCCTCCCCAACAGGGTGCTCACAGGGACCAGCCCACGTCACCCGGGGCCCTGGGTGCGTGTAGCACATTTAATGGAAAATACTGCCACTGCCAAGTAGAGCTGGGGAGAGGGCCAACAAGAAGTTTTTTTATTTCAATATTGAGAGCCAGAGTAGGGCTGGGCAGGGAACCAGGCGTGTCTGTCCTCCAGGAGATGGTGAAACCCACCGGGAAGGGCACGGTGTGGGGTGCCGGCTTATTCCTTGAGCACCGGGAACTTGAAGGGAAGCTCACGCTCCGCAAACGCTGTTCGGTCCTTGGCTCCCGGTTTTATTTCAGAGGCCTGGCCCCGCGCTAGGTCTCGCTCTCTTACTCCCCTGCGTTCTACAGAGAATGATGGGGTTTATTCCTCCTTGAAGCTTCTGTGGAACCATGGACTCAGGTGCCACCTGAGGCTTTCTCTTCCCTGCCCTTCGGCTGGAAGGCCCTGACCCCGAGCAGGCAGGGAGCCCGACCACGAGGAGACGGAGACGGGCTGAGCTGTCTCTACTGAGAGGAGGAACTGGGGGACCCCGAGAGCCTCTGCGGAGTGTGGGCTCCTGTGGAAACGTGAGCTTTCGGGGGGGGCCGAGCCCCACATGCCCAGGCCCGTGTTGCCGCGCCTGTGCTGTCTGGGCTCGTCTCCACACGCACACGCTCCATGGCGCGCCGACAGCAGAGGCCCCGGGCTTCCCATGTGTAGAATTTCCCAACCTTGGTTCCTGGCAGTAGTTTTTTGATACAAGTTGGGTCCAAATTAGAATTGATTTTTGTTCTTACCTTACATAGCTTAGCAACATGCACCAGGATGGTAATTTATGTTAACGTGGAAGATGGTTGTCTGAGTGCAGGTTTCAAGACTTTCCGGTGTTTCAAACCCTCTCCTGTAGACCTTAAAGATGAATTAGAAGAAAAAAAAAAGATGAATTCCAAACGATGATTCCCTTTTCGAATCAGCCTTCAATCATTGCCAAGTCCTGCTGAGGTGACTGTGTTAGTCTGCGTTACTTTTGCAATATATGTCTGTGATTGTAAAACGATGCTTTGTTTGTCGTCCTATTCTTACACTTGTTAGAACCAATTTTTAAAATGTTTAATTTTCCAGTGGCCTGTGCCTGGCCTGGCACACCTGCTCTGGGTAAGAGGAGGGTGTTGTAGTGTTGAGCCCAGGCCAGAGGGTGGGGCAGGCGGGGATTACGGGATGTCCAGGGACCACTCCTGCCCCTGCTTGAACCTCGTGCACACCTGCTCTGGGTAAGAGGAGGGTGTTGTAGTGTTGAGCCCAGGCCAGAGGGTGGGGCAGGCGGGGATTACGGGATGTCCAGGGACCACTCCTGCCCCTGCTTGAACCTCATGTTCACTCCTCCGGTGACATGTACACAAAAGCAGGGAAGCCTGTTCGGACCACTGGACCGCCACTGTGCGCGTACACCCTCTCCTTGTCCTTCTGCCCTTGGATGGGATCACCTACCTGCCTGGGCGTCAGGTCCACACCTGTGTGAGTCAGGGACACCTTGTGACTGGACTGTACTCGGGAGCATAGCCAGGAAGCCCTGTCTTCCTTCTCTGCCGCCCACCTATCCCTCACCCACCTCTCTCCCTGGGGCCCACCGCCAAGCCCTACCTGGGCTAGAAGGAGGGGAGGGGAGTTGGTGACTGAGCAGATGGGGACACTGTGAGTGTGGTCTGGCTCTCTGAGTCTGGGTGGGAGCCAGGTGGCCCTGGACTCAATTTTGCCCACCAGCAGAGCAGTGGGATGGAGCCCACCTGTTTTTATGCCACATTGGGGTTCCCTTCTCATCATCCTGTGAGGCTCTGTGTTAGGGCTCCCTGGAGAGCCAGCTCCTGTGTCCCCGGAGGCAGCGTGTCAGGTGTACAAGCTGAGTGGCCCCTCAGAAGGACCCCATGCCCTGGAGAAGTGGCTCTGGCAGGCCAGGCCCATTGCCCGAAGCCAGGGAAGCCGTAAACTGTGGCCCAGTTGGTCTGGATGGACGTCATTTCCCCAGGATACCTCCTCCTGCCTGCAGTTCTCCCATGAGCAGTGGTCGAGGGCCGGCCCATGTGCGCCTTGGCCTGTGGCAGCGTTGGTGTGTGTGCGGTTGGCCGCTTTGTGACAGGTGCAGAATCCAGTAGCTGGCAAGTGTGTCTGTGAGAAGAACATCATGAGAGCCTGTGTTTTTACAGAGACCCCTGTCCTGGTGATGGGAGGTAGATTCTGGTTTCAGAATCCAGCCACGCACTTCCAGTCTCTGCCAGCAGGGGGACACAGCGAGGGCAGATGGGCTGGGAGGGGTCTTGGCCCCACCTTGGTAGATGGCAATCAGCAGCTCTGCTTCTGGGGAGTGTTCCTTCAGTGTATGAATCCCTGTCCGGTGATGGGAACCAGGCTTTGCGTTCTGTGGTGATGCACGGGAGGGCGGCCCTGTGTGTGTCCCATCCCCCACTGTGCTCAGCGGCTCCTCCCAGCACCACCCATCACCCAGTCTGGAAGGCCCCACCCGGGGTGCTCGTAGCGCATGTGTCTTCTTGTGGACGTCTGCACTTGATTCTCGGTGCAAAGTGTTTTCGCTAAATGATTAAAAAACAATGTCTTGCCAACCACATTCCTGCCTTTCATTAGAGATTTGAGCTCACCACACCATGTGTTCGTTCTGTTTGTAAGACAGAGCTCTGTGAATACTGTTAGGTCTGACTTGGGGGATATTTTAAAGCTCTATTAGTGGGGGGCTCTTCCTAGAATTTTCTTTTTAAATGCTGGCAGAGTAAACAGGTCTTTTAAAAGCTTTCACTGTCCAGGCCAAGCGGAGCCTGTACTACAGCCAGACTTCCTGCCCGCCTCCAACTCTGCTTCAGAGGAGGGGGCTCCCCTCCGCCCCAGCCCACCACCACGATGGGCAAGTTCTGATCTTCCTGTGACAGGAAGCCCATTCTGCAGGAGGCTCCTTTCCGAGGCTGTGGGGCGCTCACTGTGGCTGGGACATCGTGGCCTGCAGGTCAGCTGCTGGAGAGCGAGGACCAGCCCTTCCCAGTGGCACCACCCGAGCCCGCACTGCAACCCCTGTCCTGGTGATGGGAGGTGTAGATGCTACTATTCAGGGAACTGGAAAGGAATTCCCGATCTCCATGTAGGCTGGGTGGTGTTTTGAATGTTTTAACCTTATAGCTGTGCACCTGCTAATCTAGAGTTGTAGTTGGCATTTCAATCAATTGCAAAACTGGCCCAGCAGGACGGAGCTACTACTGGGAGCCCAGCCGAAGCTGCCCTAGGCCTTCCAGGAAAGGAGCTGGGATCTGGAGGCTTCTCAGGGGGTGTGTCAGCCTGGAAACAAAGCTGTGAGGGGACGATCTCTGTGAGATTCAGACAATGGTTGCATTGGCCCCGTGGTGACCAGCCCTGCCCACTGTGAGAGTGGGAACGTGTTTGTAAATGTAAAACGCAGCTCACCATTGTAGAGGCCTGTCTGTGTGCTGCTCCTGTTGACTTACGATTCTCCACAAATAAATATTTTCATGGCAATCGTGAAGCGTGAGGAATTCTTTCTCCACAGGATTCCCTTTTCTCAATCATCTCTGCAGTGCCTACACTGCAGTAACCAAGCCGTCGTCACTGCTCTCCCTTCAGCATCTCCCTCTTTAAAAAAATAAAAAAATATAATAAAAGGTAATATGGTAATTAGACTAGACATCATTCCAGATGTCCTTCCTGACGAAGCCGGGGCCAGAGGGAAACCAGCCCAGGTTCCAGGTGCCTACGGGCGGCCTGAGAGAAGTAAGCCTGGGTCCCAGGTGCTGGAGGGAAGCTAGAGGGAGAGGGAGAGAGAGATCGAAACATCAGTGATGAGAGAGGATCATTGATTGGCTGCTTCCTGCATGCCCCACACTGAAGATCGAACTGGTCATGTGCCCTAACGGGGAAGCAAACCGTGACCTCCTGGTTCATAGGTCGATGCTTAACCATTGAACCATGCTGGCCGGGCAAATATCTTCCTCTTAAAGAAAGGGCCTGCCCCGCCCTGCCCTGCTCACCTTGGCCACCAACTCAAAATTTGAATTTTAAGAGCCTTTATTAAGCTGGCCAGCTGACTACAGCCACATCCCTCCCGTAGGAACATCACAACTTGCAGTGCTGACCCTAATTCTCCAGTAGTCCAGGCAGGGACCGCTAAGCAGCACAGGGCAGTCAGAGTGGGTTTGAGAGGCAGAGTCAAGCAGATCCCGCGGACTCCCGCCCTCTCCTTGCCTTTCTCACAGAGCCTGTTACTTGGGGATGACCTGAGGATTTATCTACAAAAATGTGGGAGGGTGTATAGTGTGCTAGGGGCAGGGGCCTGACAGAGAAGCTGATCTACGTGCATCTGGTCCTATGGCTGCTGCTGGTTGCCAAGATGAATGTGGGACACCTGAGGCTGTTGTCACATGATCAGGTGGCCATGCCCTATCAGTGGGAGTACCCATATTTGCTGAGTATTGTGCCCTCCCTCTTGGGTCGCCTCTCCTTCCCCCCAACAACATTAGCTACCTGGTGCTCTCCGTGATCAGCATGGGGCTCTTTTCCATCGCCCCCCTCATTTACGGCAGCATGGAGATGTTCCCTGCCGCACAGCAGCTCTATCGCCACGGCAAGGCCTACCGCTTCCTCTTTGGGTTTTCTGCCGTCTCCGTCATGTACCTGGTGTTGGTGCTGGCGGCTCAAGTGCATGCCTGGCCGTTACACTACAGCAAGAAGCTCCTATTCTTGGTTCGCCAGCACACAGGAGAAGCGGAAATGAAGGCTGCGGATGGACTGATCCTGGGGTGAAGCCTAGCCCCCCCGTGGAGAAGAGTGAGAGGGTAGAAGAGCTGGTCTAAAATCTCTGTTGTAATTTTGGCAGCTGTGATGTTGGCAACTGGTGCAAACTAGGCCCAAATTCTGGAAAGCTGCTACTGTTGTCATTAGCTGAGGTGGCAAAATGATATTTAACTTATTCCTGGTTGGCTGGAACTGGGTGAAGAACAGCTGTAAAACTAACTTCGGCTAGTTTAAGTTGAAGCCCTTCAGGATTTTTCTGTTTTAAGACCGACCCTCATCCTTGCCTCTTTGTCATTCTCTCCATTTCCATCCATTACCCCTTAGCCACTGAAACTGGAGATGAGGAATCAACCAAATTCTACTTCCATTTATGGGTGGTTGGGAGGAAACATTAGGAGGCTGCTTTCCCTGCAGACTGTGGTCTCTACTCTGAAGCATTTAATTACAAAGAACCTCAATAAAGTTATAACTGCCCTGTCAAGAAAAAAGAAATTATTTGGAAATATTGGGGGGTCTTCCCCAACTCAAGGGGAAGGACTTCCACTGGTGGTCAGGCCTCACGAACCTTTTATGATTAGTTCTTTTATTCAGGAGGAGCCAACCCGGTCTCTCCCTGCAACATGAATGATAAAATGTATGTTAAGGAATTTTAAAATTGCTCAAACCTCGCTGCCTTGGGTCCAGTTCTGCATGTGTAAGAAGGGACAGAGTAGTTTAGTAGCAGGAGTGGAGAGGCAGGCAGGGCAGAAGCAGGCCAGAAGAAGCTGGCAAGGCCATCCAAACCCCCCAGCCACTATTGGCCAGAGCCGCCTGAGGCAGACCTCCTCGGACTGGCAATAGCTGACTCTGACTAGGACAGACTGGGCTCTTTCCAACTGGGCCCCCATGAGCCGATGGTCAAAATGAAGATCGGGGGCCAGACTGGGAACTTTATGATGGATACAGCGGCAGAGCACTCGGTAGTTACTCAGAAGGTAGCTCCCCTCTCAGGACAGGAAGTCACCATTATTGGAGCTACCAGTACAGTACCACAGCTGCAGACTGTTCTGCCACCCCCGCCGATGTCAGTTAGGCAC